TTGAGAGACATTTTTTTTGGCTATAGGGGATGTGTCCTCACTGGAGAGAGAAAGCGAGAAGTCGCCTCCCAGAGAGAACGGCCACACCACAATCCCTTCTCCTCCATTCTCTTCTCGGGACTTTGGGCATGGATGCGCACGCACATGCATTCACCCGTGGGTTTCTTTCTTTCTTTCTTTCTTTCTTTTTTTTTTTTTTTTTGAGAGGTTTTCACTATAGGGCATGTACACTCACCAGACAGACTGAGAGAGACAGAGAGACAGAAAGTGAGAAATCATCCCCCAGAAAGTGAGAAATCATCCCCCAGAGAGGATGGCTACACTGCAATCCCTTCTCCTCCATTCTCCTCTCGGGATCTTGGGCACGCACACACATGCGCCTGGCGTGGGTTTTAAGCCATTGGGTCCGGGACGCGAACCGCGGTCAACTACGTGGGAGTCCAGCGACATAGCCATTATGCAAACTGCTGGTCCCATGCACACCTGGGTTTCAAGCCACCAGGTCCGGGACTTGAATTGCGGTCGGCCACAAGGAAGTCCAGTGCCTTCCGCCACCTGCTAGCCACCTGCTAGAGTTGTTTGTATGTTTTTTGTTTTTGTTTTTGCCAGAGATCATGTATGCTGCCTCGGGAGAGAGAGAAAATACCCCTCGGTGGGGCATGCTCACGCTGCAATCCCTTTCTTCTTTCAGGCAGGATTTGGGGCCTGCACACACATGCACCCAGTGTGTTTTCAAGCCAGAGAAGGATTTGAACCACAGTTTGCCATGGGAGATATGGCTCCCAACACACAGTGCTTAACCACTGTGCTACGGGGCCAGCCCCAACCCTAGAGTTCTTCACTCCAGTTCCCCAAGGGTCTCAGACCAATAACTAAGGCCATGAAGTGAGGAGCAGGGGCCCGAAGGCTTCCACCTGAGGGCACAGGGGAGCTGGCAGAGGGTCCCCCCGCTGCCCCTCTCCTTATAGCTAGTCCAGCTCTCTTTTGGAGTCAGCCAGGCACAGGGACCTCAACAGGTGTGAGTCAATGCACATGGTCACATGGGTTAACCCCTCCAGAACAATGGCAGAGGGTCTCACAGGCCAGCTCCGCTTCAGCCCATACCCCGAGGCTTGGGAGGGCCCCCCTGGGCCCTTCCAGGAAGGGGTTAAAACAGAGCAAGATGCACTCTGGCTCCAATAATTCCACTCCTTGATAGATTTCCCTGGAGAACTCCCTAAATTAATCCCAGTGAGGGAGAAAGCTGGGGGCAGGGAGGAGAGCCAGGCAGGCTGCTTTAGCTGGAGATTAACCTCCGCGGGCAGCCGAGATCACAGAGAAAGGCTGTATCAGTGAAGACGCCTTTCAGGGAAGAGCGAGGCACTGGCTCCCGTGATTGAGTGCTGGCCCTTCCGACCACCGAACCAGGCAACACTACCTGCACATTTACAGGTGGGGACCGGGCCGAGGGAGCACGAACTTGTCCAGGCTCTTCTTGTTAGTCACATGCTCACTACAAGGCAGGGAACCCAGGGGTCGTAGGAGCAGGAGCCTGTCCATCCTCAAAGGGAAATACTTGAAGCTGAATCCCAGTGAATCAGCTGTGGTCAGGCCATCTCCCAAGGACAGCGCCCGAGCCCACCGCCATGGAAGCGGTGCACCGCCAGCCATAGCCACTAGCCCAGAGCTCAGATGTACCAGAGGGCCTGCCACAGTCCTGAACGCCCATCTGCCTCACTGGGCTTGTTGACTGGCCTGGGAGTTTGTGGGTGCCTGGCGCCCCCACCCCCAACGACCTCTGTGGAGTAAGCAGGAGCAGGGGCTCCAGAGACTCCTCACACCTTTTCTGAGAGGTGCCCTCCCATGTCATACGACATCTGCAGTGCTGGCGGGCCATGGGCAGGGCGTCATTACCCAGCAAGGAAACCTAGGCAGCTAATCAGCTTTGGAGGTTTCTAAGGACATCAGCCCAGGAAGTGAGAAAAGGGGATCCAACCGCATGGTTGCTCAGCATCCAAGCACCCCCACCCACCCCACAGCCCCCCTGGGGGGAGGGGGCAGGCATAGCTTTGTGGGAGGACACAGGACACTTCAGACGTCAGAGCTGAGAGGCAACCCCCCAGCTACCTCCAGGACCCTAAGGATTATGCTGGCTGACCCCACCCACAGCCGACTTCTCACGGAAACCAAACCTCTTGAAGGTATTACCATTTGTAGAAAAGCACATTTACAATGAGCGGCGGAGTGTGTAAACCCCTGAGGATTTCTCTCCTTGGACTAGGCTGGTGATGCAAAGGCCACAGCAGGGACCCATGTCCCTCAGCACCGACAGGCCAGGGAGGGGGTGGCAGGCGCC